TCGCGTCCGACGCACACGGACCTACGTCTGCTGAGTCGTTCCATGGCTTAGATTCGTTCTCCCCTTTCAAGGCACCCGGCGTAAGAGTGGACCAGGACTGGCATTTCAAAGTGCACGGAGGCTCAGCTTTTTGTGTGGATTGGCTTGGCTTGGCTCGCCGGGCCAGGTGCGGTTGCGCCTCGTGGTCTTTTTATGGCTTTTCTTCGGCTTCGGCTTGGCTTGGCTTGGCTGAGGTAATTTTATGGGTTCTATCTATCGTACATGTGACATGCGTTTTTGAAGGTATGTTTCTGCATAAATATACGCATATAAGTGTATCGAATAGCACTGCTTTTCATATGCATCTTCCATAAGACTGAGCAAGCAAAAATCGCTAATTTTGTGCAGGAGAAGGACGGGAACAAGTGAACTGCCGCCACCGAGCCTTTCGCTCAGGCTTAGAAGCCTTAGGATTTGTGTTTCTGATTTCAGAACTCTGACCACGAACCATTGCCGTAAAAGAAACAAGCCGGGCCGAACCGAGCCAAGCCAAGCCCCGCCAAAAGCCAAGCCGCACCCAGGAAAGAACACACCCTCCCCAGCCACCACTAGAGCCGAGCCAAGCCACGCCCAAGAGCAATCTCCACATTCTTTTGTGCTTGACTCGGTTTGTCAGTCTACACCTTTTAGGGTTTAGGGTTTGCCGCTCCGTGTTTAATTGAGGTTTAACGAGCCGGATCTGCAGCTCTCCATTCCTTTTCGGGTTTCGTTGCAGAAGGTTTGTTATGTGTTTGCCATATCCCATTGTCGCTCTTTTTGCTTCAGGCCTCGAATATTTCTCTCCTGCTGGAGGTTCGGGCTTCTGCCATTGTGTGCGCACCCTTCAACTCTAAGGTTGGGATTTAAGTTCCTAAGGTTTTGCCTTTCGGCAGGGATTGTTTCTCCACAAGTTGTTTGCACTTAGCCACATGTCCGCCTCGGCTGCCACTTTGGGGCTTGCCACTCTGCACTCATTGTTCCGAGTTAATCGGGTTTTGCCACTGCTGGCGCTGTACAGTCTAGGCTTCGGATTGTTGTTAACTGTTATTCCACCTCTTGTTGATTCTAAGGTTTCCGCTTCCAGCTCCGTACGGAATCTCTCCTCGCACAGTTGACGGTGTGCCATGCAACGCTACTTTCCACTGTGCCTGTTTCTCAAGAATGTTCATTCATTCCCTTCAGGTCAGTATGAAATCGGAGCTTGATACACAACTCAACTGGATCCCTGGAGGCTTTTGCGGTCGTTTCCATTCCGCTTAACATGCAGAAAACGCCAGTCCTGACTCCTGGTCACGTCTCTTCATGGTTGGTGGGTTGCCACACCTGGACCCCTTTGCAATGTCACAATATTTGCCATTGCTCACCGATTGCAAACTGGACTTGGGGGTTTGCCACTTCGCATTCAGGTCCGGCGTTGCTAAAGTCCGTCTGAAGTGTAGGACTTTGCAATGGTCCATTCGTTTTCAGACTCTGGGCTTTGTCTTTCCTGTCAGCTTAACTAGGGTTCCCCACTCCCACTCCCATACTTTCGCTTCGGCGTGCTCCTTTCAATTTAAGGTATAGTCTTTGCCACTGCTGCACGCTCTCTTGGTGATCAGGGTTTCTGCCTTGCCACGGGTTAGTTAGGGACAAGACCCCCACTGCCTTCAATATGTACACGTTCAGGCTCGCATGGAGGCCGCGGGTTGGCGTTACAAGGGGTTTGGCCTACTTGCTGTGTTGCGGGAGAGGAGGCGGCCTGCCAGCTCAGCACCCTCACCGGCCCACTTTACTTCTGTTTCTATTTCCGTTGCTCGTTCTACATCCTGTTGCGCTTTATCCGACTTAACCCATATCAAGGTTTCCGAGTTTCCGACTGCCGACACATCGTATGGTCCCCCTCTGCAGGGTGATTGTCGTAAGCTGTTGTCGTCTTCAAAAAACAGTGGGAAGTGCTGTGTAAAAATTGATGTTAAAGAGAGAGATAGAGACAGTAAAGTTCAGGCACATCGCCCTAAGCTCGTTCCCTTTGAAAATGGGGTGTGTGAATGCTGCTGGCGCCAAGGAAGGTTTTCTCGAAAGAGGAAGGCGGCTTCCAATTGAGCGATCTGTACAGGGACATCCGCAAGGTTCCAGTGAACAGACGGCGAGTGTCAGGTTGACTTTCCGACCTGCAGGCTTTGCATCCAAAGCTTGCGGACGGATTTGCGATGTCTAGGTGTGTGCCCGCCGAATGGCGTCACATTTTCAAATTCCGGAATCCTTCGAAGGTTTGCGGCAGGATCCCAGTCTATTTCGGAACAGAGGAACGGAAGAGAAGGATTCGTGAAGTGGTGCGTCCAGCACTTGTAGGAAGTTTTCTGTCGGGATGGAACTTACGAGGTTGCAGCATCTGAAGTGGTATTCTGGTCTATGCGGTCCTTTAAGCCCCGCTCTCGGAGAGAAGCATGGGCTTGGCTGCGGCTGGAGCCTTGATTTTGCTTATTGGAAAGCCTGACGGGCGGACCAGTCGCCTGACTTAGCCGGGCATAAAGCTAATTCAGTGCATATGTTCAGGCCCCCTCAAGGGGGTTGCATGCGCAGGAAAAACCAGTGTACATCACATTGACATGACACCGCGCCAATTTGCTGGGCTTGCGTACATCTTGAACTCACCACTGCAGTTTCTTTGGCTTCTCATTGACTTCCGTGGCCGCTTCAGTGCTTGAGCCAAGTGGCAAACGGCAGTTCCCGTGGTTCCGCTTCTGCCAAGCGGGGGGTCTTTGCTTGTGCACGACATTGGTGAGTTTGCCTAGCCGCCTCAAGTTGCATCTGCCGACTCTTGTAGCTTCGAATCACCTGACCAATCAAGACAGATCGGCGTGGGAGCATGAGAAAACATTTTTGGCAGGCCACAGTCCTATGGGCGTGAAGAAGGCAACCACAAGGCAAATACTTTTCTGAAACCCCCAGGGCCCCAGTGTGGATTCCCAGGCTGTGACTCGTGTTTCCCGTTTTCAGCTCTCTGGAGACTTTGCCAGCGACCCGGGAGGCAGGCGTTGCTCTGTCCTAAGCCTGGCCGCTTGCTTCTGAGAAAGCTTCGTCCTCAGCATCGTCTGCAGTCAGGGTCTGATCATGTGTGCTACCCCAGCTCATGGATGTGTCTGCATGTTGGACGGTCTGATGCATATTGCCTGATTTCCAAAGGCCGTCGAGGCTTGTTCGCTCTTGTGTGTACGATTTTCCGCCATCCGGTGCACATCACGGATCTTGCACTTGCTTTCATCACCCGATGAAATTCTTCAGAACCTGAGCCGCTCAGGCATCTCCCAAAGCGGAAGAGATTCTCAGGTTCCAAAGCTCCTCTGGTGACCAGGCTTGGAGTAGCAAGTGGTTTTGATTTTGGTCCATGTCTTCCCGAGCAGTTAGCATCCGCACAGCAAGGCATGCGCTTGTGAGAAAATTAGCTCGCAAACTGATTCGCAACGTTTGTCGGGGTCTCTCTTGCAGACGACGGCACTGTCTGCAGGCCGTGGTGGTCGGAACTGCCGGGCTGGATTGCGCTGCATGCTGAGCTCGGCCCCCAGACCTGCAAACACAGCATTCCTCAAAAGTTGGGTCGTCGGCAATGGTTGGTGAAAGCCGTGACCCGCGGTAGTGCTCGAGTGGCTCCGAGGCGAGGACCCGTACGCAAATGCTGGGAAGGTCATCGCCTCGTTCTGGACAGCCAGGACCGGGGAATGGTGACCTGGTGCAGACTCCAGATCTCGCCGAGCTTCTTTATTTCTTGCGAGTCATGTGGCATACTCGTCCTTGCACAAGCATGAGCAAGCAACAAGTGGATTGCCGCAGCTATCGGTTGACTATGTTTTTGCAATGCATTTCTCCGTGCAACCTGCAGGGAGTGGTAGGCCGTCTTGTCGTTGTCATGAGATGACAGCGAGAGGCTGCTTTAATCGAAAAGTCAGGCGGAAGACAGGTTCATGTGCATGTGGATCAGAAGTGCACACTTCAGAGGTACTTCCATCGTATGACTGAACACTTAGGCATGTCGAGCAGGTGAAACGACTCGTTCTTGGTTGTAAACTGCAATGTGCTCCCAAATGTCGGAAATCCACACAGGTTTCCCAAGTCCTTGCAGGATGGCCGACGGCACGGGTGGTGCAGCAGGTCCTTGGACAAGTACATGTTCCGTGTCCTCTGAATGGGTTTAACCAGCAGGTCAGAAAATGCTTCCGGCTCCACTGACGTTCGGCGCCAGTAGGTGCTTCCACCGACCCGCAGCTGGTGAGACTGTTCTTGTTTGCCATTCGCCGCACACCCAGCCGGAGAGGTGAATCCCATAGAATGCATGCACACGGCTGGTGCAAGTGCTTGCAGCATCTGGTGAGCTTTGGTTTGGATTATGAGAGCTGCTTCGTGTGCCTTGCCAACTCTCCGCTGTAGTGGCTGGGAGGATGTTGTGAGCATCAGCAGCCATCCTGTCCCAACTTGCTCCAATGACGACCCACAGACATGGGTATGTGCACACCCAAAAAATCCAAAGTGACAACTACAAGTGAGATTGCTATAGCTTCGGACTTGTGGCTGTGGGGCTACATCAGCTTGCACGTGCCCAGATGCACGCCTGCATGCACGAATTGCTTGTGCACGCAAGCGTTTCCCGTGCTGGAAAGTTTTAGTCCAGGCTCGAGCATGCCGTAGACATCGACAGTAAGCATCTCATCCGTCGCTCTTTCTTCATGAAGCAAAATTGACATCTGTGTTCAAGTTGTCAGCAGTACTGAGGGGGCTTCTTTTCCTGTTGGCCGTCCAAGCCATGTCCGTGCGGGCAGCAGTGGACTCACTGAGGCACAGAGAGAGAGAGAGAGAGAGCCTGAGGAAGCTTGGAAAAGCAAAGTATCGGCCTCGTTCGGGGGGCCCTGGAGGCCGGGGGAGCAGAGCGGCGAAGTGGGAGAAGAGGTGCTCGTAGCAGGAAAAAAAATCGACAAAAAGGGGGAGAGGGGGGAGGGGAGGGAGAAGGAGAGGGTTGGCGGTCGCGTGGCACTTCGGACCTCGGAAAGGGCTTGGTGACGAGGCCGGTTTGCATGACAGTGTTCTGGGTTGGGGGGTTCCGCGAAAGCCGATCACAAGTTGTATGCGGTGGAGATCTTCTTCGAACAGACGGGAAGTGTCGCTCAATGAGGGGAGGGACGGAAGCATAAAGCAATTGCTAGAGGCGTGAGCGAGCTGGTCCTTGCTATGCTTCAGTCTTGTGGGGCCGCCTCGCCCTGAGGCGATTTGGTGGCGACCACGATGCAATGGAGGCCGAGAGCCGAGACTGCCCAGACGAGAGCTGCCCTCATGGTGGGGCCCGGCATGCTGGCGCATTGGCTAGGCTGGACCTCGCCGTGTGCGCAGCGCTCGCGCACTGCTTGCACTAGGCGCAGCAGGAGGCATCCCGCAGTGTGACGAAGTTGCCGCACTGCCTTAGGCTTGTTGTGGGAACTGACACCCAATTCGACGATAAGCTGACTTGCGAGTGATCTCCGTCAGAGGATATTTCGTCCAATGACTCTTCAGTTTTCTTCTCGAGCTTCGAGCTTCTTGTGTTCCGGATCAAGACATCATAGGATTTGTGGCTTTTCAGTGTCGCTGCTGAACACAGTTGAGCCATGTTTAAACCCGAAGTCTCAGGTCTTCAGTCGTTTCCATCCTGTCAGCTGTATGCTTGCTCCGGAATCCATTTAGCAACTAGCATAATTTGTGTTGCTGGCCGCTTTCAGGCTTCCTTGCTGCATGCCTGGCCGGAGTGCTGATGATGCTGGTCGGGAGTCACGTCAACCGAGGCCCAGGGCTCATGGTTTCACAAGCGATGTTTGTTCGTGGAGCACGAGTGTGAAGCCCTGGCTTGAGGAGCCTCAGAACTTGTCGCAGCAAGGCTGACAATGAACTAAACGCGAGGTTTTGTCCATTGTTGTTGTTTCTAAGAAGGAGGGTCCAGTCCATGGTCTTGTCGGCTCTGCCAGGCCGGGCTGTTGAGATGATGCCTTTTGGCTGCAATTGCAGGGCTGTTCGAGCCTTCGGTCTCTTCGAGCCTCGCGAGAGCCACAAGGGCTTGTTGACGTACTTCTTGTCACAACCAAGCTGCCAACACGCAAGTTGTTCACAGTGGCTTACATGCTTACATGCGAGCTAGAGAAAGAAGTCTCAATGCCTCCGAATGCCCCACGGCAAGGTCGCCTGGAAGCGTGGTGTTGAGATTGCAGCATGGCCAGCTAAGAAGGAAAGGTTCGGTATTTGCATGCACGTGTATGTGTATGTGTGTATGTGTATCTACGAAAGATGTTTGCATGCATGTGTGCATAAATTTATGTATGTGTATAATATATGAACTGGGGTCAAAATTATCGTTTGTTGGTTTTAAGGCAAGCGTTTGTCGAAGATGGCAAATGCTAGAGGTGACCTGTAAAAAGATGGGGGACGCCTTAAAGACGATACCCTCCATTCAGCAATGTTGTACCTCTCTAACCTTAGCTTCTTGTTGCGTTCAACAGAGGTCTTCTGGAGTTTAGGGTTTAGTAAGGGTGTAATGTTTGCGGGATGGAAGTTTTGGAACTTAGACGACGTCCCCAAATTCGACAGAACGATGCTAGAATAGGGACATGCAAGCCTCATGATGTGTACACAGGGGGTCTGAAAGGATGTCTGTGTACATATGTAGCACTGTTGACGAAGATTTTGCTGCAGGCTTGTATTGTCTTTGCCCATCTTCGGCACGTACCCATGTATGGTCCTTGAGCAGTTCAGGGATTGGCAGCGAAGAGCCTGGTTTAGTATTTGGTGGGCATTGAAGCCTGAAGTCTACCTGAGCACGAGAATTTGGCACTCGATGTTGATCTTTTTCAGTTCTTGCAATTGTCGACAACCGGTGTAAGGCCAGTGGTGCGAAAGTCGATGCCCCATCCCATCTCAGGCCAGCATGGTGTTCGGATTGACGGCTCAATATTCCGCATTATTATACTATCGATGCAGGTAGAGAATGCCTGTCTGCAGCTCTGAAGTTTGGGGTGGATTTCGAGATTGCAGAGGATCGATTGTACAACAGAAATCTGCGGCTGTCCAGCCATCAGTCAATGCGTTCCTGGATGCAAAACCATCCGACTGCTAGTTGTCAACCAAAGCCGTCGTCACTTCAATCTCCTTTTGAAGCCACGTCTGGAGTGCCCTTGAGGTCGGAGTCGACAGCATGCCCACGACCGCTTTTGGAGAAGGTGTCATACAGCAGTTGGTAGACAGGGAGGGTGGGCATTCAGTCGTGTTGAACCGAGATCGGCTAAGTCTTGTGACATGCATTCTTCGGCAACGGTTTATGATGGATTCAACCACATCGTACATAAGAGTGGTGGACTGCTGCTGTATTTCGTCTGCATTGCTGAAGACCGGCACTATAGTTAATCAGACACAGCTCTGCCAGGGAGCGAGCGTCATAGGTCGGCTGTTGCATGACTCAAGAAGCATGCAGACAAAGGAAAGCGTGAATGGGATGTCGATAGTTTGCCTCCACAGAGCGGAGCATCTAGAATCTAAGTTTGACAACACGCACGGTTGCCTAGGTATGCTCATTTGGCTGCGAAGTCTCCATTTCCGGTGGAGGCAGAGTCTTCACAAGCTAGTTGTGGCACGCCTGCACATGTGGTACAGGCAAGACATGGAAAGGTCAGAAGCAGTGCAGCATTGAATACACACGTCTGATGGTGTTCGCATGACTGATCCCTGACAGATCGACATCAAGAACGAGGACGATGTGATATATTTCGGCAACATGATTGATCTCAGTGTGCTCATGTCCTTCGAAGCATGTAGGCCGCACGTTAGACTATACTGCAGGTGTTTTCTTATGCATACTATTTCGGACTTGCCTGTATGTGTTGTATCTTTTCTGAAACATTCACTGGGACAAACTGGGGTGCATCTGCACCAGCAATCCACCACTCGCGTTTCATTCTGCTTGTGGACAATTGAAATGTATTGAGATCCAAGGTGTCGTTGGCTTGGGGACTCCAATTCAAGCCTTCCGCGTGGTTTTCGACACAGGATTGTGCAGTGCAGCCTCACCAGCTGAATCGCATCGATGATTCGCCTTCCGATTAGCTAAGACCTGCAGGCTCAGCCAATCTTTGGGTGCCGTCTTCTGAGTGCATCAACTGTGACACGACGAAGTCTGGAGCTCAGGTGGTGCAGGGAGGGTCTTAGCTGTCTTAGTCTTAGCAGTGCATGGAGTGACAGGCAATGCCAACGAGAGCCCGTGCTGTCATCCGAGGCTTCATCGAAAGTTTGATGGTCCCAGATCATCCACCTATGAGCACTCCAACTACATTGTCAAGCTTCCTGGCATTGCATTTTTCAAGCCCACTTCTTTGAGCAAAAGCGGTCCTGTTGCAAGCAGGCATGAGTTCCAGAGAGCAAAATGAAAAGAGTTTCACTCACACGTGCCCGCGACTCCCCAGTGGATCGGTCGTTGAACCTCTGGCTGAATACCAGGGTTCGAAACATACTGGATTGTCCGGATGTCTGCTGCAACGGCTCTCGCTTGCATCGCTCTAGCGGCTGAGACTTACCGGGTCGCTCTGCATCGGACGGGCGTTCAGCACGGCACGTGTTGCTACATTTTTGGGGCAGCTTCGAGCCCGTCTGATAGTTCTTCTCTAGTTTAAGTCATGCAGGCTGTTGGATGTCTTCACTCCTTGCCATGAGCCTTCCAGTTGGCCAGCCAGCATTGCATGCGACTTCTGCATCAATGTCAGCGTTCCAGCTTGTCTGTGCTCTGTGAGCGGGATCACGACATTGTCCCTGAAGTCTCTGAGGGCCGAAATGGTCAAACATGACATTCCAGTTCTGTGATGTTTGCTGTACAGCTTGCGTCCCCGTTGCAAGGCTCACCTACGGTACAGGCCGGCCCGACAGCATGGGAGGGTATGCCGTTTGCCGTCGCATGTTGGCAGGCTCGTGCAAAGGTTACCTGGCACGGGACCGACTGTACCTCGGGAACGTCACGGTGGAGCAGGTTCCCTTCGTCGAGGCGCTGAGTGCCCACCGCATTGGCACATGTTTTGCCTGCCTTTTTCGCAGTTCTTGCGCAGCTTGTGCCGACATGTGGCATGGTGCATGGTGCGGTTGCCTTTCAATTTGCACTTCATGTTCCTTATAGCCCTGAGAAAGGCGGTGCAAGTGAGCTCCCCTTTCCCCAACTCTGTCACTTGGCAGCAGTTGGGTGCATGGGGTGCAGCGCTGTTGGGTTTCATTCTCGCACGATGTCCCTGCAGTATTGAAGCATGCGGGCAGCCGGACTCAACTTCCTTTTGACACGCAGTAGTTCTCGAAGCGGGACTGGTATGCTACTGGTAGTGCGAGTGCCCAAAAAAAGCTGCAACCGTTGAGGACTTCGATGGTATCTTCGGGCTTGCTCTTTCCGGTCTGGCATCACCATCTGGCTGGGCGCCTGGCAACGTCGCAGAAGTTGCTGCACTCTTCTGGACGCATAGGGTTGAAGCTGGTTACGCATTAGGAGCGCGAAGCTGACAGCTTGATGATTGTCATTTTGCACATGCTCTTAAGCGAATGATATGGATTGATGTTGTTCAGCCAAATTCAAGTGGTCAGTCGCCCCCCAACTCCGAATTTGTTGAGATGCTCGCAGGTGTGCAAAGTCCTCTGGAAAGCTTGTTCAGAACCCACGGCAAGCAGATGAAAGACCAGGTCCCTTGTGCCTTCAGGCCTCTTCTGTCAGAACATATTCCCTGGCTGCGAAGGTGTTTTCGTTTCAGATGCCCAGCGACCCTATGAAGCCAGGTGGCTCGGCACAAGCGGGCCTTGGGATACTTTGGATAGCTGGGAACTCCTCTCGGAGCAGGAATCCGAGCGATCAGAATCAGCCGTGTTGCCAAGGACAGCTCCTGCTTGGCGAAGTTCCCTCGACAACTGCGGCGTGCCGTGCTGATAGTGAGTTCGAACTCAACCTTGGCGAGGTACCTATGCAGCGGTACCCGCAAGGGATCCGGTGGCTTGGCAGCACGCAGAAAGGCCTGCGTGCGCAGCGACTGGATTGACAGGTGGCTGGATGTGATGGAGACTCCGGGTGCTTCAGGCCCAGAAGGGCTGAAACAGCATACAAAAAGAGCCGGAGCCGGAGGCGTTGAGGGGTTCTACCGGACGCGGCAAAATTGGAGCACCTTGGATTGGGCAGGTTCCGGAAGCTTCTCTCTCTCTCTCTCTCTCTCTCTCTCTCTCTCTCTCTCTCTCAAATTCGAGCATTCTGGAGCTCCCCAGTCCGCTCGGTTTAGGCTGACAACAGCCGCAGGAAGCGTTCGTTTCAGCCGTTGGAGGGTGAAGCCATCAAAGGACAGACCCAAATCCTCTACTATCGGACTTGGCTTGCCCATCGTCTTCGCTGTCCTTCGTGCGCATTGTTTTCATTCTGCCTCAGGCCGCAGCCCCTACAGTTATTGGGCGGTGAGCATGGACAAGGTCTCGTTCGCGGGGATGTCTCTCACTGGTCGCGTAGGCTGCGGCCACAGGGGATGCACAGTGCTGGTGCAGACGGCAAATTGCGACTCCATGCGACTCTGGCTCCCCGAGGCCTCGTAGATTCGGGCACCAGCTGCTTGGTGCTGCCTGGCCGCGATGCGGAGCGCTTCTACGATGCCGTGCGCGAGGCGTTCAGAGCTTCTCTGGCATCTGCCGACTGCCGCTGCCCTTTCTTGTGGCTGGACCCCTTTGAGAGGGGTAGCTTCTGTCAAGCACAGGTGCTTCTAGGAGTTAGAACTGAGGGAGCATGAACACGCATGAACTGAGGGAGTTTGGGCGCAGCCACCTTTCGAGTCCCACTATGTGGACAGGCCCAGTACAGTGACACGCGATGCAGTGCGTTGCCACCCTTGACGCTGACACTGGGTGGTCAGGCCAGGACATGCCCAGCTATGCGTCCAGAATCCACACTAATCAATCCACAAGCTAATCAGCTAATCACATGCCTAAACTCAATGTAGTTTTCGGAGGACTACACGCTGACTGGTCTGCGGCCCAGTAAAAAGGGCTTGCTATCAGAGAGCCACCGATGGCAGCCTTTCTGTGGCCTTCCCTTTCCCAGTCAAGGCGAGGACTACGGCTTCGAACAGCTGGGAGGCTGTCAGGTCTGTGTCCAGGCCCGTGACAAAGAGAGGATCCTCGGCAGGGCAGTGGATTCGTGGGACCGCCCATCTCAGAGGTGTTTCCATCCAAGGACATGGATTCTTGGCGATGTCTTCCACCGTTGCCTGGCAAATTGTAGGTTTCGTTTCCCATCTGACTGATTGAGGTGACGTGCCGCTTCGTCCTGCCTTTAGCTGCCTCGAGTGCCTCTTCCACGGTGTTCGATCGAGGCAAGTTTGCTGTCACCTACGACTTCGGCTCGCGGCCGCCAAGGCGCGTCCAAGACCCCAAGCCGAAGACTCCCCAGCTCAAGACTGCGGTTCGCATTTGCGGTTCTTTCTCCTTGAGGATTGGGTTGCCTCCCGGACGCCGTCCCTGGAAAAGCAAGTCCCTGGCCACTTGCTCCGGATGCTGTGTGTGCAAAGACTGGACCGCTGGGCTGGCCTCGCGCTCCGCTTCGTGTCAGGTCGGTTTCGGGCTTTGCGGTGTCGTCGCAGCCGCATTGGGTTTTCTCGTGGCATCGGCGCACATCAGGCCGAGGGAGGGCAGTTGCGAATGGATTTTTGCATATTTTTGCTAGGTCACCTGACGACGCAAACCTCGGAAAGTAGCGCTGCATCGGGTTGATTCGCAGTTCGAAGTAATCATTGTGCTTCCGCAACCTACAGATACGTCTTTCCGCTTCATTCAAGTTCAGATAGGTTGCGGGTTGAAATCTGCTGTCATGCAACACTGCAGCATTTTCTTCAGTCACCCGTTTCTTTCCAAGCCATATTCCGCGACTTCTGCCCGCGGATTTGGGCTCAGGCTTCAGGAGCAAAGAGAAACGAGGAATGGCACCTTGAGGGTCTCAGAGGTGCCGTGTCCTTGAGAGAATGTGACAGGCAATTGCGCTTCCATCGAGGTGTAGCGGCGCAGGTCGGTCACAGACACATGTTGCATCATTTCGCAATGTCTTGCATCTCAAATCACTGAGCTTGACGAGGCCGCTACCTCCCACGAACTGTCGCAAAGGCCCGAACTGCTGTGCCATCCAGTAGCTTGGACAACGGTGCAAATCTGATAGTGATCTCATGACACCGGCAGGTAGTCGAAAGCGCGAGGATTGCACCGTAGCCAGCCGGAGCCGGCCGCAGCCTTGGAATTTGGCGTGTTAGCCAGAAAAAACGCTCCCGGAATGCTCAATTCCCGAGGCTGCAAGGGATTCGCCCGACGGCCTGCGCACAGCAGGTCGGGTGCAGCGCACCCGCCGGGAGTGTGACAGAGGTGTGCGAGCCTTTGGATTTTGTCCCCACCCTGATGCTGGCGAATGACGAGTTGAGGGCTGGGGTATGGTACCATCCGCCCTGTTCTGAGAAGGCTTTCCAAGCAGTTTGGTTTGTTGTTCCTCAGATTTGTCAGCTTAAATCACTTCAGTCGAGACGGTTCAGATTCAGAGTCATACACCCGAGCGGCGATGCTTCGTAGTTCGTTCAGCCTGCGAAGGCTTCCACTTGTTTTCTTGGGCTGGGCTTCAAGAGCCTGAGAGTGTTGGAGAGCGCGATTTACCTCGGATAAAGCAGAGGAGCGATGTTCTCCAAGCCCGAACGATAAAGGAGAGCATCACTTGGCTTCGACATCCGACAGTAGTTAAAGAGGCAACATGGCGCAGTGCCATCATCAGAAGAAGCTGCCAGCCCATGTATCACAAGGTCGTTCCAACCCATCAGCGGTCTTGCTGCGCCGGTGTACTGATCCCTCACTGGATCTCACTGGAGACCAGACCAAAGAACTTGAGGGATCTTTCAGGCAGCACGTCCGCTGCATGCGCTGTTTAACATGAAGTCTCCCTAGTGGGCAGGGATGGGTATGGAGAGTTGACTGATGAAGCCGCCCGTGCTCGTGCAGGGAGTTACTTCAGTAGACCTCACTTCCATTGAGTGCTCTGCGTTTCCCGCTCAATGGGCTTGAGTTCTTGCTATTGCCAGGTCGAGCAAGGCAGTCTCTCCGAGCCTTTTCTGTCTTTCCATGAAGGTGGCAAACGCAGCCGATGGAATGACAAATGGGTACAGATGCCGCCTCAAGTGCAAAAAGTTTGAGCAGATCTTGGACATTTCTAGAAGTTTGACATTTGCCTGGGGCCCTGTGTGTTTCAAGGGGATCCTTTTCAGAGCCCTGCCATGGTCACGGCCGCGGCTAGCGCTTTCGACTTCGGCTTTGTTTTGAGTTCTTTTGGCACATTTTTCTTCCCCGGGAGCTTGCAGCGGAGGAGAAAGTGTCGTTGATGCGATGAAGTTGGAAGCCATCAACACTGTAGCTGAGGTGCTCTTGGACTTGTTGCATGGCCTGCGCTGCCAAATCCCGACTGGCGAGGCGGGCTCTGTACTCAGGCGTATTGCCGCATGCTTCCATCCAGCTTCCTTCAACACAGCTCAGCTGGGCCTTAGCATGCCTCGGCAGGCTGGCGGAAGACCCACTCTTCCATGGCACGAAACTCATGTCTGCAGACCGAACAGCTGAGCACTTGCAGAGCACATGAGATGGCAAAAGTTTGTCTACCAATTGGATGCGTCATTTTGGCTCATGTTGCAATCTTGGAAAATGTGGAATGTTGGGCTGCTTCTCCTTGTGTAGTTTCACATCTCTGGTAGGCAAAGCATAAATAAGAGTGTACTCGACTGCCAGCGCATGTGTTAGAGTGCATTGCTGCAGACTCGGTTGGCAATTTTCACCTGCACTTCCAGGTCCGAACGTTCCGCACAGCCGGCATGTGTGCCAAATGACCTCGTTAAGGCAGCGTTTGAGGCTGTAGCACTTGTCTTGGCCAGGTGTTTGCTGAAACCTGCTTTCGGCGAGAAGGCGCTGGCAGGCACTTCCATCGCTAGTCTGGAGGTTTCTAGGCCTCTAGAGCATGCCTGCTCATGGACAGGCAACGGAACTGTCATCATCTGTCCCGGTGGGAACTACGAGTTTCTCTGCCCAAATGAAGGCGCTGCAGCTCTGCTTGGACTATCTACCTCTCTATCTACCCATCTATCTATCCGTCTATACACGCATCCATCCATCCATCCGTCCATCCATCCGTCTGTCCGTCCGTCCAT